GAAAAAAAGAACATCACCAAAATTTTACGTATTCTCTTCTCTTGTAAATGATATAAGGATAAAATATCCATTGCTAAAACAAACTGATTTTAGTCACAGTAAACTTCATGAACTGAACTACCTTCCGAAACAAACATTAAATTTACGTGTGGCGTCATCAATGGTGCGTAAAGAAAGATACCTAACGAGATATCTTTTCAGGATTCGATCCTGCATCCCTTATTCGGAAGACGTCATTAAATCTGACGTTCCTAACCTCTCGGCCACGAACTTCTTACGCAAAGTCCGAAATAGTGCTTTTGAACAAACACTCTGCCGATTCTCGAAACATCCATCTGCTCTGTTTTCATATTCTAATGTAAACAATGGACAATTTTATTCGAATATTCAGTTCGATAGATGTAGTTGGATATAAATACTGTTTAATTAAAAAAACAGAGCTTCTACTTGAATATGAGTATCCATCAAAATTAACGTTTAAACAAAATAAATTAAATATAAAAATATATTGGATTTAATTCATTTACTAAAATAAAACATATAAAAATACATACATACATACATATAGTATATACAGGCTGTCGACTTACAAAGCGAGTATGACCATCACTGACATGACCAGACCATCAGTTAAACCCCACCACCATCACACTGCATTCATTGGTTGTGTGAATGACAGTGGCTCATAAAGCCAGCCATCGATCTGCATTTCTTGTTAGGTATGTGGCATATCAAATCATCTCCGGGTGGTGGAAGTTGACTTTGATAATCATTACTTCCAATGTGTTTTTTTTTTATATGCCTTTTCAAGCACGACCTGGACTTTCACACTCTAGTGCAGGTCGGGCATTCAAAGATACCATTACGAAATCGTCATATGCTGTTGGTGTTGGTGTGATTTCTGGTGACTGAGCAGGCATGCACTGGACAAACATATCCGATTGCTTTGGGCACATGGCCTGGTTGACACGTCATGGCAATTCAGGGATCCCTTCCGAAACCCCTCTCTTCAGTTCTGCATATTTTTGTGATGCCTCATGGAAGATCTTGACGTCATCAGCAATACCAGCTCTCCAAGAGAATCGGTCTTCAGCTAGATTCTACCAGTTATCCAGACCAATATTGCACTTGTATAGTTACTCTTTAAGTTAATCTTTGTAACGAAGTTTTGGCTTGTGCTGCGGTCTTTTCCCCATTTCCAATTCTCTATAATTTAAACGTTTTGGCATTCTGTCATCTTCCATACGAATAACACGGTTTGTCCATCGCAATCTGTATTTGTGTATAGTTGCTTCCTTGGAGATTGAATTGGCCCTTTGTTGTGAGACATCCAGTGGATTTCAAGCACAGACCGAAGGCATCGTTGATGAAAAAAGTTCCAGTATTTTCAGATGTCTGCGATAGACTACCATGTCGCTCATGAATATAGCAGAGATGACATAACGCAAGCATTATATATTTTAAGGTTTGTCTGCGATTTTATTTGCCCGTCTGTCTCCTGACACGGAACTTGAGTGCTGCAAATTGCATCGGAGGCCTTCTTAATCCGTAACGCTATCTCATCATCAAGAGAGCAGTGGCTGTTGAGGGTGCTACCAAGGCATACAAATTCGTCTACTACTCCAAGTCGACTACCATCAACATAAATTGATGGCTCTATATAGTGAATTCTTCGGGCAGATTAATACATCACCACTGTCTTGAAAAGGCTGATGGACAGTCCAAAAGCCTTACATGATGACCCTGATAGTCGATCCGTGAACTCCTTTGCGTGCTGAATTGTATGTGCGAACAGGTTGCAGTCATCGGCATAGAGAAGATTGCGTACTAAACTAAAAAAAGACTTTTGTCTGTGCTGCAAACCTTCGTATGTTGAAAAGCTTGTCAGTTAACCTGCACTTATCGTAATACCATCATGGCAGCCCCAAAACGCATCAAGCAGTACAACTGAAAATTAGATAGAAAACAGTGTAGGAGCTAGAAGATCTCCCTGCTTGACTCCATTTTCAACCTTGATTGGCCCCGTAAGCATACAGCCAAAACTGACACAGGTTTCCATACTGTCATAGAATGATTTTAGAATTTTGAGAAAGTGGTGAGGACAGCATGACTTAAATGTGTTCCAACGAACGGAATATCTCAGCAGGAAGGCCGTCAACCCCAACAGCTCTGCCCATGTTGTGTTCCTCCATGCCACGCAGAGCCTCGATGGTTGACTGTCAAATTCTACCACTATGAGTCTTTGTGGTATTTTCTCAAGAACCTTGAGTTCCACATTTGAAGGCCTATTCAGTAGCCCATCAAAGTGTTTATTCGATTTCTTGGCCAATGCCATTCATTTCTGTGAGGAGATTATTGCCATCCTCTGTCCTGAGAGGAACAATTTTGGTGGTTCTGGAGCCAAATACTTCATCAAGTAGTACATCTACTTGGTATTATTTGAATTCGCTGCATTCTGGATTTCATCATCTAGCCCTGACCAGCATTTTTCCTGCATAGTTCAAAGAGCACATTTAATTCTGCTTTTGCAGCTTTAAACTCCTTGCACAGTTTACTGTGCTGTTCTTTTGACAGGCCTTTTTGCAACATCGAAATTTGTATCTGATTCTTTCTCGCGCAGAGATATCTAGATGGCTGTTGAACTCTCAAAGAGCTTCATCCTCCCTTTGACAGGTTTTGTTTTTGTACTGCAGGGATTCTAGCCTTCCTCCTCACCATACATACATACACACATCCACACAAACACATATATATGTGTGTGTGTTTGTGTGTGTTCGCTTGTACAGATCATCCGCCTAGTAGTGCTATGCAAACACTACCCTTGTGATTTAGCACGCCTGCTAAAGTGGTTCACAGGGTACTGCTCGTGGAGATTTAGGGATTGCCCGTCTACTTTAATAAGAAGGTGCAGCAGGCGAGAAACAAAGACCCACTGCCCCGACACACATAAAACATATATATTTTACATTGGATATCGGAGTAAACAGATCGTCATTAATGTGCCAGTATATTGCTATATATACTAAAGTATAAAATTATTATAAAGTATAAGAGAAGATTTTATTATTATTATACTTATAATTATTATTATTGTTGCTGTTGTTGTTGTTTAAAAGTACTTAAATAATAAAACAAATTTTCTAGTAGTAAAAAACGAAACAAAATAACGTTATAACTGAGAACGCTTCTCCAACAAAGTTGAAAGTACGTTACTTTACAATTAATAAATAATGTAAAGCAATAAGAAAATGTAAAGAAATAAAATTTATACCAAATATTATTAAAAGAATTTTTGAATATAGATAATAATAAATAAAGAAATCGTTGATAATGAGCCAATAGTCAAAGATTAACAAAATAAACATTATGACTCTACTTTCATCCAATTTCGAAAATTACGATCCCTTTAGTAAAGAAAACGAAAAAAAAAAACAGTAAAATGTTACGCTTAAATATAAATAGAAAAGAATTATTCATGCCACTATATAATTAATTTAATAAATACAATGCATTAAATGATCTCAATATATGTAACTCTTAGTGAGATATTCTTAATAAATGACACTTAAACAAAACCTATTTTTTTTAAAAGTCGTAGTATACCACGAAAAACAAATATGTAAAAACGATTATAAAATGTGTATATTAAATACTGTATTAATCTATAATAGCATAACGAATAATATAATAAACAAAAAAAAATAAGAATGGACGATTAATTTAAAAAACTTTTTTGAGCAATGAAAGAAAACACATCCGTTTACTCCGACATCAGCGCTCATATGTATACATACATATATACATCCATATATATATATATATGTGTGTGTGTGTGTGTGTGTGTGTGTGTGTGTGTGTGTGTGTGTGTGTGTGTGTGTGTGTGTGCACATGAACATACAATAACACATCTCCAATCGTTTCTGTAAGTGTTATGAGTGATAAATATACGTTTAATCAGATAAAATATAATACATCTTGACAATTATACGAATGAGAAAGTTATTAAAATCCTGATATCATACGAGACTTGAAACAGAAACTTCTGGGCGCAGTTGAAGATAATTTAATCCTTCAACACTTATGAAAAAGCTTTTTTTAAACAATCATTTCATAAAAATCAATTTTGGGTAATTATTCTTTCTTATATCCGTTTTTTCTTCAAAGTTTATTCATAAAATGTTTTATGTTTATTGGTAATCTAAAACTATATTCATTTGTTTTATTTTTTGCTTTATTTTTTCTCTTGATTCGTAATTGTTAAAATATTGCCTTACTCTGGTGTAGTTAGACCGCGTATACGACGACCGTAGTTAGTAAAGGGTTAATTCCAACAGACTGAAATTAGTTTTTATTATATCTCAAATATATCACAAATTAGATTTGCTTTTAAGTTTAACTGTCTATTTTGTACAGCATATTCCAACAATTGTAAAAAAAAAAATCAAATGACTAAAAGTTGCAAACTATGAAATCGCTTGCATGCGCCCCGACAAATCTATCTATTGGCAATCAAATAAAAAAAATCCATTTATATTTATATAACCTAGTATAAACTTGCCTCTGTTGGAAATAAATTAAACGTTATCTATCCAAATAAAAGAAAATCATTTGATTGGTCAAATACCTGCATCTCTCTGAACATCAGAAAAATAATTCTAAAATATTTATTGTCAAACAACAAGTGAAAATGAGTGATTACCCAGTACATAATACGGCGATAGTCTGTCAATCGAATGCCACAATCATGGGTTAGCAGTGGTGGCGTTTTCAATATTTTACAGCCTATCTGATTAAAGTAGCTACATTACTGGGCCTCATGTCATTTTTCTCCCGGTCTGTTTATGCGAAACGAAGGCAACGGCGAGATGTCTGAAAGTAGGGAAAAATAATCATTTTGTCAATTCGAAGAATTTACAAACAACATAATACAAATTAGAAATAAGAGAAACACTTAGAACGATATTTAGAAAAAAAATAGAGAATGAAATATCTTGTCAGCTTTAATAGAAAAAGAAAAAAGGTACAAGAATTTGAACCCCAATGTATAAAAGAGAAGCATGGAATAATTCTAACGCACTAAATCTCAGAGTTGGAGTCCTACATTAGAATTTGAAGAGAAATCATTTTTTATTTGATTGTTAACTGCAGTTTACAGTTGTTTATATGAAGTTTTTTCGTTATTATTTCTTTTTTTACCTGTGCCCATTTGTATAATTATTAGATAGATAGATAGATAGATAGATAGATAGATAGATAGATAGATAGATAGATAGATAGATAAGAACTGACTGTGCATAATAAAACACACGTAGACACACACACAAATATATATATATATATATATATATATATATATATATATATATATATATATAGAGAGAGAGAGAGAGAGAGAGAAAGAGATAGATAGATAGATAGATAGATAAGAACTGACTGTGCATAATAAACACACACGTAGACACACACACAAACATATATATATATATATATATATATATATATATATATACAGAGAGAGAGAGAGAGAGAGAGATAGATAGATAGATAGATAGATAGATAGATAGATAGATAGATAGATAGATAGATAGAACCGACTGTGCATAATACACACAAACATATATATATATATATATATATATATATATATATATAAATAGATAGATAGATAGATAGATAGATAAAGAGAGAGAGAGAAAGAGTTGGGAAAGTGAAATCATAAAAAGACAAAGGTCTGATAGAATAATAGATATTTGTTTCACTTCTCGTTATTTTTATCTACCGCTCTTCTTCTTCTTCTTCTTCTTCTACTTCTTCTTTTTCTTCTCTTATATCCCTCCTCCTTCTTCTCAATCTAATCTTCCCTATCCTCTCTCCTCTTTTTTCTCCATCATCCCCCCCTCTCTCTCTCTCTCTCTCTCATTCTTCCTTTTTCCTCAGTTTCTGATTACAAATCTCTCTCTTTCCTTACAGACTATCTAACACGTTTCCTTCTTCTGTTATCTTATCGCTACTTCATTCTTCCTTTTACGTTGCCTTTTTATACCTTTCTCCCCCCCCTTTAATTCGCCCTACTTCTTTCCTTCCCATCTTCATTATTTTTCTCTCTATTTCTCCCCGTTTCATTATTTCCACAATTTGTCAATTTTCTACTTCTCACTTTTCCTTCATACATTCATTTTCCTTATTTGTTTTCAGCCTCTTTATTTTTAAGAAAATCACTTATTTTATTCTCTCCGGTCCTATTTTCTCTTCTTCTTCTTTTTTTTTTTTTTCTTTTCACTGACTACAAAAAGGAGATAATGTCAGCATGTTGAATTTATCTGCGAAAGGCAAGCAACAGTGAAATAGGATTTAGTCTTGATCAATCATATGACAGAAGCGGGCTATGGCGGTGGATGTTACTTTACTCAGCAACAGCAAAAACAACCACAAGAACATAATAAATTGCAATCAAAAATCAACGAAACATCGAAAATGAAGCAGTGAAAAGGGACAAATTAACTTGGTGCGCGCTGACTGACCTTATAACGTTAAATTTCTTATGTGATAAGGTGTCATCGGCTCGCCCAACTGGGAAATGCGCCTTTTAACTGTCGAAATCAGTTAAAAGAAACGATAATACATCTACAGAGAAGCATTAAGCGACGATGACGATTGGCAAGCCGGGCGTAAAAACGCCTGAATTTAAGGATCACGTATATAAATTTTCGCTTCATTACAGACTAGATAATTCCATTCGCCTTCCCTACTGTCTTAAGCGTAGCACACATTTGCAATTTGTTCTGTATTTCCTGCAAAAGGAGTTGATGTGGTGGTGATGGGGGAGTAACCGTGTGTAAGTCTATCACGAAGAGAGTTGAAAACTTTATCTTTTTTATTTAGTTTTTTTTTATATATATGTATATATTTATTTTTAAGCGGTTTTAGCCTTTATGCCTTTTTTTACTGCGTAGTATTTTCTGGAATTTGTATTATTTAGAATCACTTTTTTTTACTCGTTTGCAATAGATTTCTTGAATACTTGTGTGTATATATGCAATATTTGAGTGTGCGCATGTATGTTTATGCATCTATTACAAGTATATGTTTGTGTGCATCTTCATGTGGGTACACGTCCATGCGGGTATATAGGGGCGTTGTGTGTGTGTTTGTGTATGTGTGTGCATGTGTGTGTGTGCGCGTGTGTGTGTATAAGGGTGACTATGGCATAGAAGTGTATATGTTCACGATTAATCGTGCGCGTTTATAATGGATAAATATGTCTATGTTTCATATATATAGGCAATTTATATACATGTATATTATTATATTTATTATTATTATTACTAAGTGAGAAAGCAGCATGCCAAAAAATGGGATCCAAATATTCGAAGCCTGTTATAATAATTTTGGGGCTATAATGGGTGCTTAAAGATTTTACAACGGCAGCCGTCTAAGGAGGGGCTGCTTCTCATGAAAATCGATATAATGGCTTTTTTCTGGTCTTTGAATTCCGACCCATGGCGCCATTGTGAAATATCAGACGGTCTTCACCGATACACAGGTTGAAATATTTTAATATAATATATTTTATTTTTTAATCCTTTTTCAGAAACTCCGAAATTTTGGTTATCTTGCTTTTCAACCTTCAACAGGTGACGACAAATTGAAGCGTTTTTGTTTTTGTCTTTGGATTTTTTTTTGTGGGGGTGGGCAGGTGAAAAAAACGTTAATTTGAAAATTCTTGTAAAATATCAGATTTATCATTTTAATGAAATTTTCAGGACTTATTCAGCAATGAATGAAATCATTTTTTAAACATTCTTTTTTTAGAACATTTCAGTATTTTTTTTTTTTACATCTGTTACTCCCACCCACCCAGACACGTTTAATTTTGCGAAATTTTTGAAAATTCTTTTTGGTACGGCTTAATTTCTTACATTAGTTATAAGAACAAGACCACGGAAAATTTAAATCATCCATTTTGAGGTCAAACGAAACCCTTAGTTATAGAAAATCTCTTCTATATTCTAAAATAAAAAATGCAGTATAGCTAAGATTGTTTAATTAGAAAAGCTTTTTAACTGCTTTTTGAATAAAGTATATTGTGGACACTATCGTCTTACGAAACAAATTTTTTTATAAATAATGAATTTTTACAAGAATTGTTTTCATCTTTTAAAATTTTAATTAGAATAATTTATAAAATTTACGTTTTTAAAATTCTATGCTAATTTGTAGCAGTCACGTGATTAAATAAAACTATATTTATTAATCATAAATGGAAAAGCTTAGAATAATCCACCGAGCCCAGTATTTTAAAAAGATATTTTTTTGTTTTGTGTATACAATCGTGTTCATTTTTGTAAATACAGGCGCCTATACATGACAATATCAGAAAATAATGGCGGTAACTATAGTAAATTTTCTAACATTTGTTCAGCAAGAGTCTTCGTAAGTAACATTATAAATCCAAAGTACATGTCATTCAATAAAATATTAGAATGTTTAAAATATTTTAATTTTTTTAGTATTACTGTGTAGTTAAATATATATATATATATATATATATATATATATATATAATAAATGGCGTTTACTTTGTATTCGTCATGAAATTTTATTACAATTATCTCCCCATTACATAAGCTAGCCTAACATCAGGCTAACGATAAATGTGTCGACACCTCATAAAAACACCCAACTCTGTGTTAAAAATAATATTTTTGGCGATATTTTAATCTAAAAGTAAGTAATATTTCTTTGAATTCAAATTAATTAAACTTTGAATCTGTTATTTTTTCTCACATAACGTTTCAGAAAAGTATATTTTATTTTTTAAAGTATTTAACGAAGAGAATTATGTTGCATTGACGGATTTGTCAATACAAATGATTTCATCGACATTACTGACAATCAGAAAAATCTGTTCAATCAATTTAAATTCCATTATACACCAAAATTATTGGAAATGTTAAATTTAATCTATTAGCATGAAATTAAAACTGAAATAAAATCTTCTAGAAAGATTTTTCATTTTTAAAATGCATTTTAAGCATTAGGTATCGATTTTCTTCGAGATATATATCTTACAGTCAAGTATTCTGATTTCTCTTTCTTAGTAATGAGATATTCCGTTTCTATAATAAAATGTAATTTCTTCTTTTTCTCAACTATTTAATACGCCTTTGTGTTTAATTGTTGCAAGCTGTGATGCAACGATTTTAAAAACTGTATCAAAATCAGTTTCTAATTCTGGTACTAATGTCCTTCAGAAAGGCATGAACCTGTCTCTCCTTACTTTCTGGCCAATCATCGTTTAATTCTCAACCTTGACAGAGTCCAATCTGCGTTAGCGTTTACGTATATGAAAAAATTGAACTACGAACTTTTTTCTGTGTGGGGATCGGAGTACGAATCACGATTTTTATTTGATTTTTTTTTTTTTTGCAGGACCTGTGTCAATATTGTCCATTAATTTCCTTTTATATTTGTCTCCATTAGGAAATTCTTTTATTTCTTGTAAAGCAACTCATTTGTTCTACGAAACGTATTACCTTTTAAATATCAGGGTTTGTTTTTTTTCCTTGTTTACTGTATCTATACATACATACATACATACAGATAGACAGGCATACGTACATACATACATATGTGTTGATAGGTTAGTTTTCTTTGTTTTGTTACTATGCTTGTATCATTTGTTTGAGTGATTATCAATTGATGTTGCATTTTAAAAGATCATGTACTTACATTTTCTTCGTTGTTTTCGCTGAATAAACATTATTTTTTGACAATCTAAATTCATAAAGACGGCAATACAAATAAAAGCAAAACAATGTAGGAATAGTAATTACATTTTACAACCACTGTGATTCTTCAATGACTAAAAATAATATACAGAAAATAATAAGGAAAAAAATCAGAATAAAACATTAAACTAAAGTCTACAGTAAGGAAAAAGAAAGAAAGAAAAATCCCAATAAAATGAGGCTGAAAATAAATTAACAGGCGACAAAATAGGAAATTATCGAAGTTACTAAGAAGGCATGATGTATTTTATTTTCATGAATTCCGTACTAAGAATCTTTCTTCGGTATCAACTTCGTATACTATTCAATTTTTGATATCTTAACATATTTCGGTAAGAAAATATTATCTTCAAAAACGACACTTCTAAGTATATTTTAAAACTTTACAGTCAAATTTGATCCGTTTCCTTTTACTCTTTATTTTATTCTTTTTCTTAGCTTTTCAACTCACACGCCAAAATGAAATCATTCAAAAAGTATGATTTTAAAAAAATACAATATAACAAAAACCTAATGAGATTTTATTTGGGTTGCTACATTTTTTCTTTTCGATCTATGTGTATAAATAGCCTAATATGACCTATGTAAACTAAATACTTTCTTTCAAAAGGATGTCATTAGTATTCATTACAATATTTGTACGTATGACCATAACGTAATAATATAAATAGGAGTAGATAGGTTCGACTATCGTCCGGTTCACATCCCTCCCCTGTCTTTTGAACAAGATTATAGCCTTATCTCTTGTTTCCTGTTTAGGATTGGGTTTCTGGTTCGTTCTAATGTGTACTTCAACTCGATAC